GCTCTAGTAAATTCACTGCTTAGAGAATAATTAGTTTACGTTAAGATAACGGCTACCTCCTGCTTCTTCGTTCCAGTCTCAGAGACACACAAACACAATATGCATCACATATAAAATGTGATAACACCAAAAATTATACAGCAATCATGTTTATGCATTACATGTTTATGCCTATTTCCATTTGTACTTTTGTAAGCACTGTGTTTGAAAGGTAATATAGCATATAATTACACCTTTCTTTTTTAAAATGCTATGATAATCTCACTGCCTGGGAAGTTTCCATGGCAGAAAGACTGGGCACAGTCAGGTGACTGGTATTTCATGATTACCATCCACCAGTAGGTTGATCTTTAGAAAGTTATCTATTCATGCAGGCCCCCGGGTTCCTTCTTACTCACATCAGGGATTTATAATTAACACTTCCTAAGTCATGTCCACCATCCATTCTCCACAGCAGTGGTTCTTAAGCTTTAACATGCGTAAGAATCACCCAGAGAGCTTGTCCTAACACAGTTTCTGGCCCATCCTCAGAGATCGGATTTAAGAGGTCAGGATAGGGCCCACGGCTCTGCATTTCCAAGAAACTCATAGGTGATACCAATGCCTCTGGTCCCGGGACCACACTTTGGGAACCACTGATACACAGTAACATGGAAAACCAAAACACTTCAGAAAACGAAAATCTGACAAAGCTTCTCTCTGGAAGACTTCAGCGGTTTCCCCATAGCCCTGCGTATAAAGTCCAAAGTGCTAAATGAATAACAGTATGTGAACATCCATGTCTCCACCCAGATGCATTGCTTAGGATCCCTTTCGGGGTCTTTTCTGACAACTCAAGCTGCTGAGCTGAGTTTTGTGTCCCTCCTCTGTGCTGTTAGGAAAATGTGCTTCCCTGTGTCCTAACACTGTAAGGAACTGTTACCACATGCTTCCTCACCTCTGTTCCCAACCCGCCAGAAGTGATTTGTAAACGCACCCCCAACTCCCACTGCTCCACATTTAAGGGAGAAGAGTCCCCTCATTTCACCTCACATCTTTTTACTTAAGAATCGATGCCACTTTCGGGCTACACATCAGCTCCCATTTCCAGTGTTTCTAGCAGAGCCCTCCTCAACCCTTCTCTATTACTCCCCACTCTGCTCCCCAAATAGGCCACATCCCAGCCCCCTATTAATTCCCCTTCCTGAAGAAATGACAGAGATCAGGAAAACCCAAAGAGAGAACCTGCACTCCTGTGAGCACATCCCTGAGTGAGGTACCAAATTCCCCTTCTCCACCAGCCTGCTCTTCTCCTCATTGGGCCTGGATGTGCTCAAGGCTCTCAAAGCACACAGGGCATGGACCCAAGCAGTCACGTAGAGCCCCACTTAGAAGGTCCCCAGGCTTGGTTTCATGCTCTTCTGTCACCATCTTGACATTCTTAATTTTTGAACAAGAGGACCACACATTAGGCAGCCGGTCCTGAAGGCACATTATGGAGCTGGAGGCATCTCAGCTCCTCGGCAAGCACACATTACCACATCCCATTTTCACCCACGCCACCTCAGCAGCACAGCTCCCAGCACTCTAACAGAAAAGTCACGCTTTCCTCTAAGAACTTGCCGTACTTCCTCCTTTCAGAGTAAAACAAAATTACATTATGGATTATATCATCCTTTTTACATGAACCACCAGGAAACTTTTTAAACACATGATGCTAATTAATCTGGCAGATAACAGTTTTGAAACTGATGGTCTATAAATGTATACTTTTTCCCATATTTTGACTCTCTGTTTCTATTTCCTTGGTCCTGCCTATCTTTTCCATTGGAAATTCATCATTTATTTTACTAAATATGAATATCCTACTAAGAGGTGTTTATCCCACAATCCAGTACACACAGGAAGGAGGCATATACAGTACAGACAGCCATCCTATAAATTTGAACTTAAAGAGATCTGACTTCATAAAATATGTGCATACACATGAATACCTATGCTTACATGCCCATTAAGAAAATGTGGAAACAAGAACTTTAGGCTTGGGAGCAAGGGCCAGAAGAGAAAACAAGGGAAGGAAGAGATTTACTTTTCATTTTTACCTGTATATAATATTCAATCATTTTCTATAAGTATATTACTTATAATTTCTCAAAGTAAATAGCTTGGTAAAATGATCTTCTGTCAAGCTCATTAATTGGGTGCTTAGCAGAGCAAGAAATGGAAAAATAATCACTAAAGCAGTTTTTACTTAATCTCCAAAGATACCAACTTTCACATCGGTTTCCCATAGACTGTCTAGTGTATTGTTACCGAAGGAAAAGAGCAGGCATAAATACTCAGAACAATAAACTTGAAAAATGTAACCTCTGGTAACATTTAATGGTGTTAAATCAAAAATAGTAAAAATGAAAACCTTAAACATCTGCATATGCTAGTTGAAGACTATGTTAAGAAGAAATGATTATTAAAAGTTAACCAATAAGAAAAAGTGTGAGTATTTGGGGTAAAAAATTGTCAGAAAGCAAATGTGTAAAAAGATATATTGTCTTGAAAATCCTTGCTTATTCTAAATGTAAAATGCACTTTGATTCTATTGCAAAGAAGTTCAAAGTGCATCATTACAATAGAATCAAAGTGCATCATCAAAAAGTCACACAAAAAAATACGTACTTAAAAAGTGATCAGATAATTCACAAAGATTATTCCCAAGAAGTCAGATAAAGATGCCCCATTTGTTAACAGTGTTTTTTGTTTTTCTGGACAATGTACTGAGGATAGCTTCCTATGGTATGCATAACTTCCTCTGTAATACTCCAATTGTATTACAAAAAGCAAACATTACTTTTGTTATCAAAGCAAATTTAATAAAGAATTTTCAAACTATCTTGTCCACTCACTTGCTTTGTAATTCAGATAAATGACTCAACATCTCCAAGCTTCTTTCATCATCTTGTAAAAGGCAAATAGTAATCTTTCCCAAGCAGCAATGTACTGAGAATTAATTGAATTGCTTTATGTAAATTCTCAGCAGGATACCTTGTTCATGGGGGGTGTGCAATAAATAGGAGGTATAATCATCATCACTCTTAGGAAATGACAATAAAGCTGGTATATTTTCAATTCTATTGGATACAGTAGAATTTAAATTTAGTGAAAAATAATGTTCATTATTAAGAAATAACACAGACTTCACATTCATAACAAAAGATAGGTTGGCAATGGCTACTTTAGAAGCTACCTAATTGCCTGGTCACGACTTTTTCTTTGCGTATTTTTCTAAAATAAATTTAATTAATAACAAGCTATCTAAATAATTTTAATTGATAATCATTTGCAAAGAAATAAAATTTGACAGTCAGGAAAGGTATCCACTAACATGGTGGCATACATTAGTTTATCAAGTCACTTTGCTGACACCAAGTCCCTGTTTGGATGGGGTAGAAACTAAAAAGGCTCTGGTTTGAGAAAGGCCAGAAGCAGGAGGCAAGTGGGCTCTGCCAAGGTGCACCTCTATCCACAGGTAAGAAGGAAGGTTCTCCATTCTGTGTGTGTGTGTGTGTGTGTGTGTGTGTGTGTGTGTGTGTCATCGAAAAGAGGGTGAGCCCCGCCAAGAAAGAGTGAACCTCAGAAGACAGATGTTGGAGAGATGCTGTGTGCTCCACAGGGCTCATGTCACCACAGTCACCATGCCCAGGTCAGGTCTACATAGCAGCCATTTCAATTCCATCTTCCTTTTGTGACATTCAAGGCTATGCTGACTTTACCAAAATTGCTTTCAGTCAAATTTTCTAAAAGAAAGGAAAATAAGCCTACTTTTCTGCTAAAAACTGTTGTCATACAGGCCCGTAACTAAAGCCATTTCATACAGAATACCCTGGCCAATGATTAGCACATGGTGCTTTATACTGAAAACTTTAAAAAATAGAACAGCTATCCCAATCTACCTTCTAAAATAATGTTGTAACAGCATTAATAAATGATGAATAATGTTTGGACAGTGTTTATTAGAGAGAACTTAATGAAATAAAGTGGAAGATACGTGAAATGACTAATATTTGAATTCATAAGCATGTTATGCCCCAAAACCATATTTTTGGTATCAAGGTGATCATTTTGATCAATTTCCTAGTAATAAAGAATAGCATTAATTTCTAAAACTTCCAGATAACAACTTTTTTCCAGGTTACTGCTTCTATAGATGTATACGCAACTCACACTAATTCACACTTGAAGCAGATAGAATCCAAATGAGCTCTTCTTACAAATTATTTCCAGAATGGGCATGAGCAACAAAAAGATACGATATAAATTATCTAATTATTCAATAATACTAGGAAATCCTTTTTAAAGATACAAACTAGGCCAGGGATTCGGGCACAGTGGCTCACGCCTATAATCCCAGCACTTTGGGAGGCTGAGGCAGGCAGATTGCCTGAGGTTGAGTTCAAGACCCACCTGATCAACATGGAGAAACCCCATCTCTACTAAAAATACAAAATTAGCCGGGTCTGCTGGCTGTAATCTCAGCTACTCAGGAGGCTGAGGCAGGAGAATCACTTGAACCCAGGAGGCGGAAGTCTCGTTGAGCCAAAATGGCGCCATTCCACTCCAGCCTGGGCAACAAGAGACAAACTCAAAAAAAATTTAAAAAGATACAAACTAAGCAAAATTTACATTATTTTGCAAGGCTTATCAAATCCTGCTCCAGTCATGTTGCTAATTATCTCATTTAAGATATTACTTTACCATATCAATATTTATTTATTATTTTATACTTTCTTTTCTCCAAAAGACTTAAGAAAACTTACAAAAAACACTCCCACCACTGAGATAAAATAAATAGATAAATCAATTTATGTTAAGTGAAACTTAAGGTAAGAAAATAAATACATATGGGCAGTGGTAGGGCGCAAAAATGTAAGCTTTCAGGTCCCTGAGACTTTGCCAGTAAGGCTGTACTTTCTGTCCCAGGCTCAGTTTCTTCCGTGTTTGCTGGGAGTTCCTGTACTATTCTGTGGATCTGATAGAACTTTTAAGAAGGCAGGGGTTGCTTTGCCTAGCAAGGGAATAAGAATAATGAGGTGAGAATTCCAAGGTGGCATTTGGAAGGCATACCTTTTCCCAGAGGAATCATACTGAAGAAAAAGGCCAGTTGTCCAGGAAATAGCGAAAGACATTATTACCATATTGAAGCCAAATAGGAAGTAAAATACTTTTTTTAAGTTTAAAATTGTTTTGTTTCCATGATATACTCAAGAGTCTGACTCCAAATAACAACCTCGAAACCCTCTTTCTGTTTTCAGTGCTTTCCTGAACTACCTAAATGTTTTCCCTCAAGCAGCACCAATAAAACCCAGATACTACCCACTGGCATTCTGTCCAAGCCAACACAGCTTTCATAAGGTGCTTGAAAAAGACTTTGCATACATGAATGTGAGGCACTGAAGGTCTTGGGCAAACAGTGATGCACTATTGTAGAACTCCAAGCTGGGCTCCTAACCTCCTGAGAGGCTGAGGACTGGAGATGTCACCCAATCGATGAACAAATGAATTTTCTTCATTTTTTAATACTGTACTTTGGTATCTGGTTTATTGGGAATTTTACCAAAGGCCAAAAGAGGCTACTATTGCTGTCCAGATTTGGTTGGGGGTTTGCTGTCTGAAACATACTCTTTTCCCCTAGGAGCTGAAAGCGGAAATGTACTTATTTAAATTCACTGGCCTTAATCATAGTGGATGCCTAGATTCCTATTAACCATTAGTCTTGTAAGTCCACATTAATTTCAGTTACTGATCTACCCTTCTTTCAACACCTCTATCATCAAACAACATTTATTAAGTACCTGTTTGTGTATCTTACTCTTCGAGGTACCACGTGGAGTGATTTCTAAAGAAACACTTCTTGCCCTCTAGGGAACTTAAAATCATTCCTCTCATGGTCTCCTACTGGCTTTAACTGGATACCACTAAATAGTTACCTCATTCTTCTTCTGCAAAAACCTTTCTTCAGTGTTGGCTCATTAAGGGGTGGCTAACAAAACTCATGTAGGTCACCCAATTTGGTAGGAACTCTGATGGCTTTAGCCCTTCATCTCTCCTAAATGCTGCATCTTACGACATTTGGCACAGCTCTGACAATTCCCTATTTGCCATGTGGAAAGGAGTTTTGTGTTTGTTTTTAATTCTATGTATTTAGAACTATCAATATATTCAACAAGAAGAGTAAATCTATGATGCAGATCAATTATGTTACTTTGAATATTAACTATTATATAGATTGACAAATATTGCTATTTTATCTCCAGAGAATTTTTAATAGAGTCATCTTGTAGCACTAGGGAAAAAAAAAAAGTCTGAAGTTGAAGAGATTTTTCCAAATAAGGTGTAATTTAGGGTTACAATGTCAAAACTGTAAACCCAAAATTAAACTACTAACTGTTTTTGTTTGCAGGCTTCTTTTCTCAAAATTACAACCACACTACATTTGTTGCAAAAGAACAGATTCAAGCCAGGATTTTGTTCATTCACATGTTATTCCTGCTTGACATGTATTTTATGGAGGAGTTACTTTTGCTGGCATTTGTTTTGTTTCTTTTACTAAATGGTGAGTAATGTTAGAGGCAAATGTAATAGCTGCCTACAAACACTCCAGGGCACAATTTTGGAAAGAAAGTTTGAGTAAATATCACGACATTTGATGGGATTTAAGAAATTAGGAGCTCTTCAGATGACAAGAAAGTGTTCTTTTTTACATAATGGAATTAAAGCTATGGTGAATATGGCAATATATTAAGAATTTTCTGGAAAGCCAGCATCTTGAATCATTACATCAGAATCTATCCAGTGACTCTTATAACAAAGCTTCAATGCCTGGGAAATTGAAGAGCTTCACTCTGAGAGGATGGAACTACACCAAAAACACTTCTCCAACTCCAGTCTTGGGAGAAGATCAAAGCAACAGGCCCTTGTCCCTGGTAAACAGTAATCTGGGCATACTACACTTTCTTCACATTGAGCCAAGGAATTTCCTCCCGACAACAGGCTGTGGGCTGATGGGCTCATCCACCTCCTTTCCAGGTGGAGAGAAAGCAAAATCAGGAACAATATCCCCTGAATTCTCTTCAGCAAGGATTATCAAACACCTGTTTTAAATCTTAATCTCATTAGTTATCATTGATAACAATGACAATGTAGATCCACTGCAAAGGCTTATACCACAAAGAAAACACAACTCTGTCTAATTAGTACACGCTTCATAAACAAGGCAAAGGCACCTTTCTGAAGCTATTTTAAAGCCCTTGTTGTGGTTCACAGGCTCAGAGAGAGATGCTTTGAATTCTGTTTCCACGTATTGTACTAGGAGAAAGACATGGCATTCTCCAAATATCACTGAGAGGCATCTTTACCTCAAGGCAGGATTGTTCTGGGCATGGGGCCCCCTTTCCACCACACCTAGAGTCCCAAGGAAACCAGAAGCCCTGCCTGGGGACCCCAGTTTCTTCTCCACTGTCTCTCTGAACGCTGGACATGCAGTCTCCTCAACAGTGGAGTGCAGCCCATAGCTCTCATATCTTTTTATACCCGTCAATCCCACATTCTCAACCTCGCAAACTCCCCCAGTTCACTTCCTCCTCTTCCTCCTGCCCTCTCAACTCTTTACCCTTTTCTAAGGAAATCTTATTTCCCTTTCAGAAAGCCCCCTTCATCAAAGCGTAACTTCCTCAGGAAGAATTGCAAAGAATCAGCCCAGTGCAGATGAGGTTCCACCACCCAAAGCTTCTGCAATCCATCCAGTGAAATCAATCCTCCTACCTACACACACACACACACACACACACACACACACACACACACACACACACACACACACCCACCCACCCCATCTTCATCTTCCTATCCCTCTCACCCCCTCCCAGGGAGTTTTCTGCTCTGAACTGGGTTATTCTACCTAATAGCCCATCTACTCCCTGACCCCAGAAGTCTGAACTCCTCTAAGGCCCCAATCAACAAAGCGATATTAAACTCTGTATCCTCAGGTCAAGCCAAGCCAAACGTTGACACACCAGGAGTCTCTGCCCCTCTGACCCCAGCTTCTGGTTGATATTCCCACGTTTCACAATTCAACATCCTCTCCCTTACTGGCTACTTCTCCATATGGCAAAGTGAAAGCCTTCTCCAGCTTGAAAAGTTAACTGCTCTACTTAAATTCCAGATTTTGAAGTTTCCTTTTCCTTGAATAATATTACAAATAGTTACTAAGATGCCATACTGATGATGGGCCAGGAACTATGCTAAACATGCACTATCTGACCCAGAAATCATAAGAACGCTATCAGGTATAGATACATTTGATTGAATCATACAATATTTGCAATATTCAGCTAGATTTAGCCCATGAAACTGTTATTTTGTATTTATATGTACATATTTATTAGCTCCATTTTGCAGTTTGAAAAACTGAGGCTCATGAGACAAAGTATCTTCCCCAAAGTCATATAGCTCAGGTATATAAGATCCCAAGGCTCACAGCCACTATACCACATTGCCCCTCAAGCTTCTCCTATTCCCCAATTTTACACAGAGCTGGTCCTGTCTGCTGACCTTTGCTTAAATAATACTCATGTCCTCTCCATAACTTCTTTTAACAGCCAGGCTAAGACCCACATTCTCCCATGCGGTTAACCTGACAAATTCCAAGCCAAACTGACCACAGCCTTTCTTGGAATCCATACTATAATTGGGCAAGTTGCCCTTCTTATGCCCTGCATGTCCTCTAATCATTTCTTTACCAGTGAGTCGTCTCTTCTCAAACTAAACTGCATACTTGGCAAAGCTAAGAAACTCTGGTAAGTATGTCATTTTTCCTTTCTAAACCACCATATCTCAATTATTAAATGAGGGTGTTAGAAAAAGCTACCCTGTTTAAGAGAAAGCATTAAGAGCCTGTCTGCTTAGTACTCCCCTTCATTGCCTTTCCCTCCACAAAGCACAAAGGAAGCAAATCTTGGCTTGAATTAGGAGGTAGCAAGTTGTCAAGTTCTCCTTTTGATCCTTGGATCCCCATTTCCAATGCACTGGTGCTCTCAGATCTTTTGCTATTGCAAAGACTTCCTCCCTTGTCAACTGTTTCCAGTTCTTCATCTTTCCAAAACACTTTCTACATCCCACTAATATTAACTTACAAGAACACAGCTTGGAACATGTAACTTCCTTGTTTAAACACTGGCAGAAACTCCCCATTATCTACCATGGAAGGCAGAATTCTAAGATGGTCCCTACGACTTCCTGCACCTTCATCTACAGGCCCTGCATAGTCCCCAGGACTGTGAATATGATGGATTTTACTCCCGTGATCAGATGATGTTATATGGCACAGCATACCTTAAGAAATAATTCAGGTAGGTCTGACCTAATCATATGAGCTCTTTAAAAGCAAAGGGTTTTCTCTGGCTCATCTCAGAAGCTAAGTCACAGAGATTCAAAGCATGAGAAGGAATTGATGTGCCCTTGCTGGCTTGAAGATGGTGAAAAATTGAGGTAGTCTCGAAGGGCTGAGAGTAACCCCCTGACAGTCAGCAAAAAATCAGGACCTCAATCCCACTCCCACAAGAAACGAAATTTTGCCAACAACAGAAATGAGCTTGAAAACAGATATGTCCCCAAGATCCCCCAGATGAGAACTCACCCCAAGTGGTACCTTGATTTTCATCTCGTAACAGTGCAGAGAATGCAGCCATGCCGAGCAGGACTTCTGACCAACAGAACTGCAAGCTAATAAATGGGTGTTGCTTCAAGCCATGAAGCTTGTGGTAATTTGTTACATAGCATAAGAAATTTCTGCACCTACTGAGGAAATCCATTGCATTAGATGGCATTCAGGGTCCTTAAGGGTCATTTCCTCGATTCCAGGCTCGGCTTACCTGACACTAATTCACACACCTCAAGCTGCAGGTGAGCTGGCACTCTGAGCCTGTGCCCATGCTACTTCCCAGGCTAATCTGTCCTTCTCTTTATTCACTGAGTATAGAAAGCTGCATTCCAGGACCAGGCACAGTGGTTCATGCCTGTAATCCCAGCACTTTGGGAGGCCAAAATGGGAGGATTAGTTGAGCCTAGGAGTTCGAGACCAGCCTAGGCAACAAAGTGAGAACATCTCTACAAAAAATTACCCAGGCATGGTGGCACACACCTGTGGTCCCAGCTACTTGGGAGGCTGGACTGGGAGGATGGCTTGAGCCCTGGGAGCTCGAGGCTGCAATGAGCCATGATCACACCACTGCACTCCAGCCTAGGCAAGAGAGCAAGACCCTGTCAAAAAAGAAAAGAAAAAGAAAAAGAAATCCACATTCCTTGCAGACCAGCTCAAACACCCCTTCTTTCCTACTCTTTGGATTCAACATTAATCCATTTCTTCTTTCTACTGCTCCCTCAAGACATTACTTGGAATTCTATCAGTGAGTTATGCAGATACATCAGGGGTGTCCAATCTTTTGGCTTCCCTGGGCCACACTGAAAGAATTGTCTTAAGCCACACATACACTAACACTAACGATAGCTGACGAACTTAAAGAAAATCAGAAAAAAATCTCATAATGTTTTAAGAGAGTTTACGAATTTGTGTTGGGCTGCATTCAAAGCCATTCTGGACCACATACAGCCTGCGGGCCATGGGTTGAACAAACTTGAGCTAAACAAAAGCTCAGAGAGGGTAGGTGCTATGCTCAGATGATAGAGCAGGGACTTTCTGACAGAAAGTCTATCATGAGGCAAGCCAGACTGCAGCCTGGGGCAGAGTGAACAGCAGGGGCACACTTAGGATTCCCCTAGGTCACTGAGCTGATCTACTCTGAACTGTCCTTGCCTTATTGATAATACATAATATTCCAGTTCAGACTCATGATACTAATAACTTCCCCGTTGCATTTTCTGAATTGCAACCTATTTGTAATAATTTTAGCAAGTCCAATTTTCCCCCATATTTCCCATTAGAAACAATTTAAACAGAACAAAGCTTAAAAATTAGTATTCCAATTTTTTTACTTTTAGGGCATTTATCTATAAAAATGTAGAAAGTACTAATTAATAAATACACGGACTCTTTTTTATACCTCAAGTTATTCCCCTGTTGTGCAATTCAATAGATCAATCAAAAGGCAAATTTTTTGAGAAATCATGTTTTCCCTGAACGTGTAAAAGAGGAAGAAGTGGGGAAGAGGTGTTACATCACTGGTTAGAGGCCAATCTAATTTCAAGGAAATGCAAAGGCAGAAAAGTCTTATCAGCTCTAGTTCAATTCCTCTAACTACACTAAATCAAAATCTAATAAGGAAATGGAAATACCTGTGATTGATAGAGAAGTACAATACTAGGAATTCACCGGGTCTCCTCAAGGGCGCTGGTTTGCTTTCCTTCTCAGCCACCCTGCATCCTATCAGCCACCCTCCACTGCCCACTTACACTCAAGTTGGCCAAGAAGCCACTGAAGGCTGTCCTGTGCATCTTTTCAAATTTTGTCTCTCACGCAAATAGGATTCCCCTTGCCTCCCAAAATAATCTAAAAACAATATTAAAAGAAATAAGGTCAAAACAAAATAAAACAGAGTAAAATGTCCCTCGTCCAATTACACCTTACAATCTCTGCACTTACTACATTTCCCTGAACAATTAACAGATTTTAATATATTTCTGGCTGACCCAGAAGCCCATGTTCAATACGCATAAGGTAGAAAACAAGTGATAAGCTACACAGAAAATTGTGCCATCATTTGCTGAGGCTTCTGTTCATTAAGATCACAGCTATTTTTCAGTTTCCACATGATGTTCTGTATATAAACCACATATATCCCTAATATTGGAAGACCGTGATGGTCTTATCACTAAAAATTAACAGCTAGGAACTAAAGACAATATTCAGATTGAAAGTGTCCTGAGTGAAATCAAGGTGTAATGGATCACAGTTGAATGTTCTGCCCTATTTTAGTCTCTTCCAGAATGATGTATATATACATGGGCTCCACATACATGAGTGGAACAAAAATATTCGGAAAGCAAAAATTTCCACAAACTTCCAAAAAGTAAAACTTTACTCTGCTGCATGCTGAGTACTCTGCTGAATCCACTCAAATGAAGTGATATGTAAGCATTGTATTAGGTATTGTAAGTAGAGATTAATTAAGTATATAGGAGGATGTGCATAGGTTACATGCAAATACTATGACATTTTATACGGGAGACTTGAGCATTACGGTGTTTGGTATTCTCAGTGGGGCCTGAGGTAGTAGGCAGCTCTAGAACAAATCCCCCCAAAATACCATGGGATGACTGTAATTTCCATTGCCATATTTTCTTTACCTGTAAAATAGGAATACAGTATCTTCTCTGAAAGGATAAGTGGTTTTTCAATTTTACAAATTTTTCTCAGAAATAACTTTTTACTTTTTCTTACAGGAGAGCACATGAAATTTACTTTCTTAGTGAATTTCCTGTATACATTACAATATTATTAACCATAGTCCTCACCCTTTGTATTAAATCTCAAGGCTTATTCATCCTACAAAACTGCAACTCTATACCCTTTGACCAAGATCTCTCCATTCCCCGACCTCCCCACCTCGGTTAGCACCATTCTACTCTGCTTCCACGTATTCAACTTTGTAAAATTCCACATGTAAGTGAGAACAAAAGCATTTTGTAGAACATAAACTGTGGCCTCATTTTTTAAATGCATTTGATTTGGATATCCAAGAATCTTTTTATCTCAAGAATGCTATAACAAATAAATAACTGCGAATGCCATTCTTAGTTATTGTTTGGTACTAGGTTCATCCTTATACTACATTCTTCCTCAAGAACAGAATATGTAATATGATAGATTTGAAAGCAATGATTGGGCTTGGGCTGAAACAAAGTGATGGATTGTGCCTGGAGTTTTGGTGGTTTAATGGCTTAGATTTAGGATAAAATTTCATTTTATGAAAGCAACATGAAAAGACCATCATTGCTTATAATATTAAAGTCTGATAGAAAGCAATAGTAAGTTTTCCATCATAGGCATGGGGCTTAAAGGCAGATTCAACTCAGAGTATCAGGATTCACTCTCAACTTTACTGGAATTCTCCATAAGAAGAACAAAAAGAAAAAAATATCAGAAATACAGAACAAAATATTGAAAGACCCAGGCCAAATTCTTTTTAGTAATTTTTTTCTTTTATGCTGATGGTATACATAAAATGTTGTCATTCTGATAAAATACATGTTATTTCCTTTTGAATGAATCAAACTTTAATAAAATTCATTGAAATATGATTTAGAACAATGATCAGGTAAAATTTTTAACACTAATCCAGAAGATTTAATTATTATAAACTTTAATTCCCTGTCATTGTTAAATATAGCATTAACAGAATAATTAATTAGGATGATATGTACTATACATTTTAAAGAGCATTTTTTTTCCTAAAATCTAAATGATGACAATTTGGTTTTGTAACATATGCAGAAAATATTAATTCATTGAGATATGGATCATCTCCCTTTTAACAAGCTAATAAACAATATTTGGAGAACCTTTTTTGGCTGAAGTCTATTAGGTAAAATGACCATTAACAAAAACAATGAGGCTGGGCACAGTGGCTGACCCCTATAATCTCAGCACTTCAGGGGACAGAAGCAGGAGTATCATTTGAGTCCAGGAGCTTGACACCAGCCTGAGAAACATAGTAAGATCACCATCTCTACAATAAATTTAAAAATTGGCCAGGCAGGGTGGCATGCACCTGTAGTTCCAGTTACTCATGTAGCTGAGATGGGAGGAGCTCTTGAACCCATGAGGTGGAGCCTGCAGTGTGCCATGATCATGCCACTGCACTCCAACCTGGGCAACACTGCAAGACCCTATCTCAGGAAAAAAAAAAAGCAATGAATATATAAGCTTATTAGTCTTAAAAAATATTTCATATGAACTTTATTAACATAAGCATATATTTTAAAATTAGTCCAGATAATTGCTAATCATATTTTTAAAATAAATATTAGACCAATATAGCCAAAGAAACCTCAGAAATAAACAACTGTAGTTTTTCTGCTAATTCTGTTTTTTCAGTGGACTAATAATTAAAAACACCTTTCTTGTTTGGATACCAAATGGCTTCCCAATTTATCACAAACTTGCATGGGTGGGGAAGTTGTGGAAGAGAGTAAGAAATCTTTTCTAAACATGTGTAGAAAACTACTACTAATTTTAAAAGCTAATTTATCAGTGCAAAGATTTCTGCCACCTATCATTGTCTAAATGGATTCCCAGTTTGCTGGTGAGATCTTATTTTTAGACTGTGGTATCCTTGAGGATACAGCCTGTGTTTTTTTATTTCTAGAGGTCAGTATAGGGCATGAAATCTTAGCAAGTACTCAAAACTATCTGCTGAATAAACAAACAGTAAGGATGAATGTTTTAAAAATGAATTAGGAAACATTTTTCTTGAATATCTCTCTATAGACTTGAAATAAACTATACTGTGGAGAAAGCAGAGCTACTTTGGATTTTCATGAATCACATATTTTCCTTGAACTTAAGTAATATGAATACTGGCATGAAAACTTACAACAGTACTGTAATCATGGTTTTTAAAAAAAAATATCGATTTTCCCCAATGTTGTTGATAATAACCACTCCTTACATATGTCAGTTGTAAGCAAGCTTTTTCATGTCTTATTATGGTGCTAATTTAAATCAATTTTGCATAATTATTTTTATAAATATACTTTAACATTTTTAAGTATTTAAATTTTTATTTTATCTCATTAAGAATAATTCACTTACTCTTCCTTTAATCAGATGACTCACAACTTTGCATTTTCTCTGTATCTTTTTAAGACATATAGTAACAATAGAAGGAATCTAAAGCTATTGTGTTAAACTGACTTTAAAAATAATTATATAGGAAGAGAATCATATGCATTCAAGACATTAGACTCTTGAAATAAACTTTACGATTCTTTTTTTTTTTTTTTTTTTTGAAATGGGGTCTCTGTCACCCAGGCTGGAGTGCAGTGGCACAATCTCGGCTCATTGCAGCCTCCGCCTCCCAGGTTTAAGCAATT